GCACTAATACTATTCTTTTAACCTGCAATGGTGAGTAATAGAGTGAGTTTTGGGAAGCTCAGTAATACAATACTACCAGTTGATGTTACATGACATGCAGATAAATGGGAAGCCATATAATTTCCTTATTGAATCAGACGTATACCAGTTTGTGGGATAATATGGGGTTTCATTAGTAGTTCATCGAGCAGAAGCCATGAAGATAACAATTCATAGGAAGCATTCATAGTATCACGTTTTCAGGAGGTCGTATAGGATGTCTAGTGTGTTCCGATTAAAACCAATGAAAAGATATAAACCTTTTTAAAACCATACCAGAACCCTCCAACCAAACTCCATTATGCAGTTCCCTAGAACTGCGTCCATGGGGCTTACCCTAAGCACACAACAAAGGGAGCCAACCTAAGATATGCCTTGGGGCCTACCCAAGGTTATCATTAGGTTTGTAAGGTCTTATCAGCTGGATCAGGGTTGTGCCTCCATACTCTAGAATCCTATCCATATAAAAAAAATCTGGTAGAAATCAGTTTTAGCCATAAATCGTAATATTTGGACCATTATCCAGTAATATGACATAACCGTAATAATGAAATAAATCGTATAACTGATTTCCACCTGTACACCATACGTAATTCCATGATTTGAGAGCCTACCCAAGGATCACCTTAGGTCCGTAAGAAATTACCAACTTGATCAGAGTTGTACCATCAGTCTACCCATATAAGGTCCCAATAGAACAGTTCGGATATAACCCGCAAAAATAGAAAATCATAGTTCATAAACTAGTAAATTCCATGATTCCATAAATCATGAACAATTTATATTTTCTAGTGAAAACAGGAAACCCGATAACACATTTCAGGTACCATAATTCATAAACAAGTAAATTCCATGATTCCATAAATCATGAACAATTCATAGTTTCGATGAAAACCGAAATCAGATATCACATTCTATGTTGCCATGGTTCATAAATCAGTAAATCAATACTTGCTTTAAAAACTCATTTCAAAACATATAAAACCGTCATATAGTACATATGGAACACACTAGAGGATCCAAGTATTTTTCAGAGGTAATTGTAGTTATCAGTATGGATAACATGAAACTTGTGCAATTTGTCGGATTCCAGGAACGAGGTCCTATTGAAGAGAATCAATTACTAACCGATCTAATCAGACATTTAAGGTTAATACTTTAGAAGCTCACTATGTTTCATGTGCATCAGGAAAGTGTTTAGGTATGACCAGAGTGATTTGAGCTGATAAAGGAGAAACGAAGATTCAGGCACTTACCATCCATGTCAATCAATCGGATTATCGAATAACTCGAGCTGAACACTCCCAGAACTGATGACTGTCAACTAGTCAATTTATTACCCTTTCAGGATATTCACTCTTTAATACCAACAATTCTTGTCCATAAATCATCTTCAGAATCATCGTTGAACATATTTTAAGGAAGCGAACAGATATCCCAATAATCTTTATTTCCTTTCCACATTGCTACAATATCAAGAATTGTCGACGTATTTAATTCTTAGTTCTTAACTCATAGGGACTGTACATTATGCAAGTTCATTGGTATTCCTAGACTCATCCAATCACTTACTAAATTCTCAGTCATTAAGATTATTTAGTTCATTTAGTAGTCAAATCTATCCCAGTTACTTCAGAGTCTTCCCGAGTAATTCATACGCTTCTGAGTTTCATATACATGTTGTACTTCCGTTCAGTTCACTTTGGTCATATAATAAAATCTTTTTTGGTATTCGTGGTTAATTTATCTCACGAATATCCACTTCTTAGTATCGAATGTCATTTAGCGTTGAGCTGAGCTGAGTACTTCCATAATTCTCATCAATCCAAACTTGAGGAGACGAACAAGCATTCAAGTGGTACCTATGCCATTTAGGTACTGATATAGCACTAGCGTTGGTTGACTGGCTTAAGTTGCGTTCCATAACTTTTAAGAGCAATACAACATCCATGTTTATTTGAATTTCTTAATTAATCCATGACATTTACTTATTTTAGTCCATAAGGGTATTTTTATAATTCCAATATAGATCCGGAATTTAATTCGATGATTCCACCCGTGAATCAAGGTATGAGTTCTTAGGTCGCCTCTATTATCATAATCGTTCATATTTCGTTTTACTCTTTAAAGTTATTATCGTAATTTTATTCAATTTCGACAGTGTCATTACTTCGGGTAAATTAGGCTTTAAAGTATTCCAATTCCATTAAAGTTCAAAGTACTTTGCTCATTTACTCATTGAAAGTTAATTTCACCACTAAAGGAAATCTTGGTCATTTTTCAATACAAGGGCATTTTTGTAATTTATCCATAGTGCTCTTTTCCGTAATTTCATATCCAAATATTTCCAACATTTAACCTATAACAAGATTAATCAGAATTTACGCGTTTTGAGATTCATTGATTTACTGATTAAATCATTGAATTGAGGTTTAGTCTCGGTCCTTCTACCTATTTCATTTTTGAGTCGTCTGAGGCTTTTACAGTGTTCTATCCTTAATCCTATTTACGTCTGAGTCCAATGATAATTACTTACATCTAATAGACCAATAATTTCATTCATGCATTTACCAATATCAACATGTTCCATAAAGCATAAAAGGTAGTAATGTATTACCTCGATTTTCGTGCCATATTGATCGACCATTTACTCCATTTGAATTCCCTTAATCTTGAAATCAACGTCCAATAATTCCTCGATTACATATCAACAGAAATTTCAACAAAAACGGAGCTTAATTGTGAAAAACGGTTCGAATCGGGTGATAAATCAGTGAAAACAACTTATCGGGTTTGAATTTGGAGAAACGAACTTCAGAATCAAACTTAGAACGTCAAAAACATAAAATATGACTTTTTGAAAATTTTGACTTTTTTGTCAAAGTCAACGTCAGTCAACTTTCACGTCAACGGTCAACGACTCAATCGGCTTGTCTCGGTTCGGCGGCTCGGTTCGGCTCGACTTGGCAACTCGGCTCAATGGCTCACCAAGCTACCAGACAAGGCCCACTTGCAGAGGGTGACGCATGCGGAGGCCTAAGAGGTCAGAAAAATTCCATAAAAATTTCTAAAATTATTTTAATGGATTTGGAGACACTTACTAAGCTCGATTCACAATTTTGAACGGTGGAGAGCTCAATTTTAAAACATCAGAAACTTTAACTTCCTCACCCCCTCACGCGCCGCCGCTGATGGAGACAAGAAGGACACCAGTGGACTTGGAACGATGCAAAGAACACGATGGTGCGGGGGTGTCGAAATCGGGTGGCCGAATTGACCTGAATCGACGGAAAACCAATGACGATTGAGTTAAAACCGACGAAGCTTTTGGTTGAGTTTTACGGCGAACGACGCTGATTCACGACGGGATAAAGGTCGGGTTTTGTTCACCGACCGATAACGAACACGATGGTGGTTTTGGATCGACGAACGGTGGCCGGACGGTAGAGAGATCGGAGGTTAAAGTAGTTGATAGGGGGAGAGGAAATGGGAAATATTATGGGAAAACAGACGGGGAGGGGTTTATAATTCAACACATAAGAAAAATGGATAAATTCAGGAATGAGCCCCTGAATTTCCTACACTTCCTAAAATGGTCTGCCAACTTTACGATTTTACAATTTAATCCTCAATTTCTCCCAAAATATCACTTAAATTCAATACTTTATAATTTCTAAAATTTAGCCCCTAAATTGGGGTATGACAGTTCGAATCCTGATGTTTGCGAATGGAGTAAATTGGGTTGAGAGAGTCGCCTTCACCTCTACAGTACCGGTGATTAATTAAAAAAAATAAGACAATCATTTAAAATTACATGGACCACATTTTAACAAACTATAAGAAATATTTGTACCATTAACCCTTAATCCACAAAACTAACAAGAAATAACAACTCTCCACCTTCAGTAAAATTATAACTTACCATTTAGGCTCTTAATGTCCATTTGTTACTGATTTTGTTCGCATAATCCTCCATAGAAGTTTGATTTTATTTCATTCTAAAGGTAATGAACTCATATTAAATTACTCGGATATTTTTAAATAATTTTAACCTTAAATCAATCAAATATATATCATTATTCAAGAGTTACGAACTTAAAATATATTTTTAACTAGAATTTATTAAAAGCATAAGCTACCTCTAATATTATAGTTTTGATTAGTCAAATTCTATGACACGATAGATGACCAACTAACATTTAATTTAACCCAAAACATTCATCATCAAGATCTATGACATGAATGACTTGTCAAATTCTGCTTAGTTAAAAATCTTAAATTTGCAGGATGGATAACTTTTAAATTGTGGTATAGATTTTGTATCGAGCACAACTCTCATTCAAATGTTTACGTATGATAATTTTAATATACAGTTAAAAAATGTTATTTATTTTATTATTATTTAAATAACAATATGCCATTGGATATATAAAGTTATAAACTAGTCGTTGTCGATCACTATTTCTTCCATTTCTAACCTGTTGCACGGTAAAGAAAATTTAATACTATTATAGTTGCGGATGGATATAGATTAGATTGAGTCAAGTCTTTTGTTAGCTCTATGAGATAAAAATATATATTTTATTTAAGATGATTTTATTTAATTCGAAATCCAATTTATTGTTTTAGATAAAATTAATATGTGATTTAACTTGATTTGACACATATTTATAAAAAAATATTAATTTAATTGAATAAAATAAAGATTTATTTAAATATTTATAGAGAGAGAGTGATATTATTGTAATTATATTTAAATATATAAAATATACGTACAATATTTTTTTGAATTGGATCAAATATTTTTTATCTTAAATTCAAACTCAATTTAAACCTGAATTTTTTAAAATATATATATATATATATCTTAATTAAATTAGGTCGAAACCTATCAATTTCAAGTATTATCGTTTAAACATCTAAATAAGTATCTATTATTCGGAAAACAGGGACCACAATAATCACTTGGTGCTTCCACTTTCCAGCATCAAATGGCAAGCCAGACCCCTGGTTTCATGGTGATCTTCGTCATCAGTTCACTAGGTTTCATCACCCTTTGTAAACCAGTTCTCGGCTTCATAAAATGGGTGTGGGTCATGTTCGTCAGGCCACCAAAGAACCTCCGACATCACTACGGTTCATGGGCTATAGTCACCGGCTGCACCGATGGGATCGGGAAAGCCCTGGCGTTTCAACTGGCGTCCCACGGTCTAAATCTACTCTTGGTGGGACGAAACCATTTGAAACTCGAAGCCACCGCCGACGCCATACGTGAAAGATTTGGCGAACAAGTAGAGACCAGAAACGTCGTTGTCGACTTAGCAGAAACCAGCGGCGAAGATATATTGAAGACGATGGAGGGCGTTATTGAAGGGCTGGACATCGGAGTTCTTGTGAACAACGCCGGCTTGGCATATGAAGGTGCGAAGTTTTTCCACGAGGTGGAGTCGGAGGTGGTGGAGAGTATTATAAAGGTGAATGTAGAGGCGGCGACTTGGATTACTAAAGCGGTGGTTCCGATTATGGCGAAGAAAAAGAAAGGTGCAATCGTCAACATCGGCTCTGGTTCTTACGGTGGCTTCTGTTCTTACCCTTTATACACCATTTATGCTGCTTCAAAAGCGTAAGTTTCTCCTCCCTCTTCGACTATTTTTAGGGTTTTAATCATCAGTTTGGCATACCATGATTAAAGTGTCAATTTATATTAATCATAAAATAAAAATTTAAAACATAATTAAATCATAAACTTTAAATATTAAATAATACTAAAATAGAAAGATTATTTTAACTTATCAGATAATCTCTCTCTCTCTCTATGTTTAGTTTCAATTGTAATTAGGCCGTGAAATGGAAGTAGGAAATAATTATAAAATATATTAAATTAAAATTATTATATTTATTCTAAAAATAAAAATTTTATATATATATTGATTAAACTAAGGTAATTAAAATTAGTATTTGTTCTAAGCATTGTCAATCAATTGAGAATGAAAGTTCATTCACCCTTGCAGTCGCTGATGCTCGAACTCATGACCTCTAAAAATAACAATGATTCTTTTAACTACTAGAATAAGTTGATTCATACAAATAATATTAAAATTATATTTATTTTGAATGTTAAAGTAAATTATTTCATATTAAATCATAATTAAAATTATAAATTATGATATTTTTATATAAAAATTATTTTTATAATATATTTACTTTTTTATAATTATGTCTATTTGTTTGTATTAAACAATATATATTTTTATAAAACTCAAAGATGACCAGTGCAGTGAAAACCCATATACACGAGGGATCATTCGATACTCTCGAAGCTGTATATGTGAATAACGTGCGAAAGATTAGTATATTATCGATTACCGTGTGAATTCACAAGTAAAATTAGGATGGTAATAAATATTCGGGTAAACAATACTTTTAATACTTCAATTATCACTTTTATTCCATTTTGGTCACTCAATTAATTTTTTTTAAATCATATCTAATATTACATTTTGGTTTCATTTTTATTATTAGCTTGGATAACATACAATAATTAAAGCTTTGCCTTTTAAACAATTAACGAAACTTGGAGAAGAATTTAAAGAGGAAGTTTGGAATTCTGGCACAGATACCTTACAATGTTTTCAAGAAGCATCAACATGGAATACAAGAAAACTGGAATCCATATTCAATGTCAGGTAAACCTCTCTCTCTCTCTATATATATATATATATATACTTTGAAGAAGAAGAAGAAATGCAGAATTTGATGAGGTTTTTGAAAATGGTAGATTCCATTGTTTGTTGCCACGAAAATGACGAAATTCAGGCGATCTTCGTTGTTCATCCCATCAGCCGAGACGTTTAGCAAAGCAAGCATACGGTGGATAGGTTACGGGGAGCATCTGTGTGTACCTTATTGGCCACATTCTTTGCAGCGTTTGCTGTTGAAATTGTTGCCGGATAGCTTCAAGGATCGTTGTGTTTTCCTTTACTTTCTGGGGATGCGGAAGAGAATGATGATGAGAGATTCTCGGAAACTAAGACCAAACATCAACCACAACCACACAAATACTTGAGTTATTGGTCCCATGTAGGTTTTAATACGAGGAGATATATTTTAAGTGATATGTCATTTTCGTTTAACTTCACTGGATTTCTATCATATTTATCTATTAGACATATTGGTTTGATCAAATTACGATGGATATAATCAAATCAATTTTTTTATAAATATTATTTTATATTTTAAATTGATGTTGTATCATTATCTTCATGGATGAATCGAGGAGACGGTCAAGGTAGTGACACCCTAAAAATTTTAAATATCATTTATTTTAAATATTTTTATTTTTATTGATAATCTATTTTCTCTCCTAAAATTGTATAAGTTTATTTCCTTCAAAACTTTTAAAAATTTATTAACTAATATAAAATAATGAACTATACACTTTTATTATATATATATATATATATATATATATATATATATATATATATATATATATATATATATATATATATATATATATACAATATTTTACCTACCAAATCACAAGATATGGTACTTTTGGCTATCTCTAGTTAAATAATCCACTCCGGATGGAGGTGTATCAATATTTTCTCTCTAAACGTATCCTAATACTTAAACATCAAGTAAAAAGATATTTCATATTAGGTATGATTATTACATATTTAAATCTGATGAAATTTATGTTTTAAATATTACAACAACAACAATTATTACATATTTAAATACGATAAAATTTATGTCCTAAATGTTATATTAACACCGACTGTTATATATTTAAATATTTTGAATCGTTATCTTTATAAATACTATAATAATAAAAATAACATCAATTGAATTAATACCCGGTCTTCATTTTAAATATTTTAAAATTATGTATGAGCACGAATCAAATTACCTCCGTGGTAAAGAAATTGTTATTATTTGGGAATCCGAGTTCGAACACTATAGATGTCAAGGGTGTGAGCGTTCAATATTGAGAGATTGAGAGTTATTTTTGAAAAAATATTATTTTGTACTTACTCCGTATTAATAAAAAAATTTGTGAAGTTAAAAACTTTTATAAATAATTGAAATTAGGAGAAGCCCAGCTGATAACCATGATCCAATTCCCAATTTAAATGGGTTAAATGTAAGAAGTCCAAATCGAAACATAAAAGAAGGGGCCCAATTGCTAAAAACTTGTAAGGGAAAATTTCAGTTTAAAGGGACAAGACAGGCTTCAAATTTGTTCTTGCCTTATAATGCCGCCGTAATAGCGAAAAGGCTTCCCACGTTGCAACACTATCGAAAACCTCCGGTTCCACAATCGAAACCCTTTTTCGTGTTCTTAGTCGCCACATTCCTCTGAAAGAGGAGATGAAAAAGCCGAATTCCACCTCCGGTTGCGGTTGTGCCGATGTCTACAACACTGTTTTCATTGACACCAGCCTCGACACCCACCTGGCGGTGATCGTATCCAACTCCGACACCGTTTCTGATCTTAAAAGTATGTCACTCTCTCTTTTTTTTTCCCTTATTGGTATTCTTGGTTACCGTTGTCTTCAGTAAACTTTCTTTCTTTGCATTTTCAGGATAAAAATTTATCTTTCTTCAAAGTACTTAAAAGATCAGTTTTTTTTTCTTTGGTGTAATGTTGTACGAAACCAATTCCACAATGGGCAACGTTGTGCTTTAGATTGTGTTTGCACTTTTAGATAATTTGTTCAATTCCAGTTCAGAGTTTTCATCCATTTGAGACCTCAAAGATGATAACTTGAATAGAAAATCTGAAATTTCCCTTGGAATGGACCTGAAATTGAGTTATGTAAAGACCTAAAGTTTGCTCCAATGGATGAAAGAGTTGTTAACTCCATTGAGAATCCCTTTAAATTGTTTGAACATGAAGTAATGTGGTAATGTTATGGCATGAAGATGCTGATTATTTCTCAAGTTTTGTATTGTAAAGTTCTGCTTAGTTAGTAAGATATTTGTTCTGCTGATTCGCAGAAAAGATAATGTATGAGCATCCGCTGTGTTTTCCCAACATCGCTAATATAAAGATTAATTCGTTAAAGGTAGGTCATCTATCTTGTACTTACCTTTATACCTGTTAGTTGTTGTTATGTATGTTTACAATTGATTTCATTCTTACAATGAAATGATTTGCATAACACAAACAGGTAGAGTGTCAAGGTATTTTTTATCACCTTTCGGATTCTATGTTTGTGAAAAGTGCTTTTGTTGGAGTGAGCGAAAATTGGTTTCTTTTGGTTGATGTTGCTAAAGAGCATAGAGAAAATGACTATCCCGGGATTAAAAATCATTCGGCTTATGTGTTTGATCCTCTAGCTGGTGATATGATCAAAAGATTGTCCAACATCAATGATGCATCATTGCCACAAGATCGGGACAACTATTGTGCAAAACAGAATTCCCCATCTCAACAGTTTGGGTTTAGCAATTCCACCAAAGAAAATTCGGAAGATTTGCATAACGAAGTTGAACATATGGCTGATAGTAATTCTCAGGTTTCTTTCCCTGCTACCAATAAGGGGCCAAGGCTGATTGCACAGTTGAAAGATGTCGGAGAAAACATATGTGAAGATTTACCAGCTTCTGCGGATGCATCTATTTTAAAGGAGAAGCAGAAAACTAAAAAGATAAAAAAGGATAATTTGAAAGAAAATGATGCTATAGTTGTTGAATCTGGGAAAGATGCATTGGATTCAGGTAATGTACTCGAGGAAAATTCGTTTAAAGATGGACCAAGTTCGGTTTTGAATGATGCGAACATGGGTAACCAAATTAGTAATATTGAATCTGTGAAACAAAACCATTTTTCACCAGCCGATGCAAGTGGTGGGAAGAAGATAAGGAAAAGGCAAAAATTGAATCCTAGTCAAGCAGGTAGTGAAGTCTCTTCTGCAAAAGATGTTCATCATGTTCATTTGGACACTTTTCAGGCCGTTGAAGCCAAAGACAAAGATTCAGACAACATAGCTGATCTAGATTCTTTTATTGGAAAACGTTCTATGGGTGGAGTAATATCCGAACCTTGTCCGATTTCTCCAATGGAAATGCAAGAAGTTAGTGAAACAAATAGAGTGCCCCACTCCGAGGGTAAGTTTCCGATTATATGAAGTATTTTTAAAGTTTTTCCCCCTTCCATTTTAACTGTACTCTTCTCATTCTCACTTCCATGATTAGTAGAATTGAGGCAAAATTTAACTTTTGTTAATATCGGTAACGACTTGATCAGGTGACAATGAAATGGATGATACTAATGATGGCAACTTGGAAAGTAAAAATGAAGCACCCCAACCGGTTATTGCATCAGTAATAAAGACGAGAAATTATCAGAATTCCAGTCATGTGGATGGCCATCCTACATCTGTATCTCGAGAGGGAATTAATTTCCGGAAAGCATTTGGGGCATCAGGAGATGAAAATCAGAGTGATACCTTGGAAGAGAAAATCGTGGAACCCAAGAAGTCTTCCAAGAAAGTAAAGAAGTCCAAGAAGAGTAAGGGTCCCGTTGGAGGAACCGAAGCAGTAGATGTAGTACGTAATAGAGGTCCTGCAAGTGAAATATCTCCTGCCGAGGAGAGTCCTACTACTGTGAATAGTGAGCATTTGAGTGATAATGTTGAGCAAGCCGGCAAAAGTGACGGAAAAGAGGAATCAAAAATGAAAAAATCAGACTGTTCTCCTCTGGTTAATGATGTTAAAGCTGATAAATCGAGGAAGAAAAATAAGAAGAAAAGTTCTCCTGTGTTGACCCCTCCAGAGTTGCAAGCAAAAGATGATGTCGATCAGCGGGAACCAACGTTCCTGGTTCATAATGTGACTGAGGTGAGCACATCATCTAAATCCACAAGGAAGACTGTGAATGCAGATTCAAGCTTAGATGTGCAATTGAATGGAAGCGATTTTGGCTCTAACCGAAATAAAGTTGAACCACAACATGATGGAAGGCCTATTCAAGATGATGCCAGTGTAGATCACTCTAAAAGCATTCTTGTAGATAATGTTTATAACAGCAAAGAAGTTCCCGGTGGAAGCAAAATAGCCAAAAGCCAGCAGAAACATGGAACTGTTGATTCTGGTGAGGTAATCATTGATAAGGTCACACATAAAGCGGGAGTTGAAACTGCGGTGAAAGGAAAAAGGAAGAAGAACCCTAAACCCGAGTTACCATCTTTGGAGATGTTAAATGGGAATCAACACAAGGAAGCAAAAACACAAGCTACCAAAGCTAGCTCCAGCCAATCTCAAATATCATTGTCGAAGGTTGAACCAAGTAGCTCCAATGTTAAACCAAGTAAGCAACTCTTGGCCATTTCCGAAAGTGCAGCAGAAGAACCTCCGCAATCTAAGAAATCTGGAAAAATCGACGCCACTCCTAAAACTGCTCAAAAGTCCATTGAGGTCAATTCGTCAAGAGTGCATACAGGTTTAAAGAAAAACAACCACCGTGCTGTGTCAAGCTCTGCCTTTGAAAAACCTAAATGGACCATTAATCTAAAAAAGGGAGGTAATGAGCCACAGTCTCAATTGGATGTTGCAAAAGCTACTGGAACTAATAGCAGGATTGATGCAACCAGCTTAGCAAATAAGAAGAGCTTACTGGCTACTGTGGGTACCATATTTAGGCACGATGATAATGAGAGTTCTGATGATGAAGATGGGGTAGGCAACTCGGATTCCAGCACCAGAGCTCCATCCAATAGTTCATCATCATCCGACTACTCAAGCAATAGTATAGCGAAGGGTAGTGCATCACAAAATGGTAAAATCATATTCTTTATTAGTTCAGCATCATTTTTATTTGTCTTGAATTGTGATCCGGTTTGCAGGGTGATAATTTCTTCTCTTTACATTGAATTTTCATTTAGGATCTTATGACTCGGAAGGCGAAGAATCTGGTGGAAGAAAGAAACAAAAACCGGGGTAAGTTTGATTAAACATTGATGAACAATCTATTTTAAGATATGGCTGTTGCGTGTTGATGAACTTTGGATACATATTCGTACACGACACTCGCATGCACCTACGTGCATGCGATAAAACTGACAATCCTCCAAGCTACAGGCATAGGTTCTATCTCAAACATCTCCATTTATACAATAGAATGTTCTCTGAATATCATATCATTGCTTCATCTTCTTGGAGCAGATCTTCCAGCCCAAAGAGCATATCCTTGCATGCAATTCTTCGGAATTCAAGCAGTTACAAGAAGGCTAAACTAACAGCCTCCCAAGACATTGATAGCCAACCTGAAGAATTTGTTCCAGATAGTCTGGCACCATAGTTAACATGTTTTTTGTTTTTCCAAATGTTATTTTTGGTCGTTCATCCATTATGGGCTGCCGTTTTTGTAATGACATGTGAGGGAACTGTTGCAACCCCTATGTTTTTATCGGTTTTGCAGTATTTGCGGAGGATTTTGATAACCTTGAAGTCAATGTAATCTGCTCCCAGTTTTCATTGCAATATATGCTTGATTGTTGGTGAATTTAGTTTCTTTACAACCCATTTTTCATAGAACTTAACAATGACTCGATCTTCTTCTTTTTTGTATTTAAAAATATAATAATAATTCTGTATAAAATTTTGATTGATTTGATATTCATGTCAGATGATTTTTCTGACATATGATGTTAATTGAGAGTAATTTGCCTAAGTTCTTTAAATTCTCGCATATGTTTAATAGTTAATAAATATTTCATTGAAATAATTATTTAAGGAAAGAACATAAAATTAATATATTTATAATTAAAATAATTATTTAAGGAAAGAACGTACAACACCATTGTCCCCCCACTTCAGCTGCTTTCATGGTGCAGTTTAAACTAATATAACCCACTTGTTATTTAATTAAAATAATTTTAATAATTCGCTGAAAACCAGAATATGTTTACGTTTCCTAAAAGAAATCATATAAAATAGTTTTATTCTATAATAATGAAATGAAAAGAAGTGAGCAATGATGGAAAATAATTCTAGGGTTTTCTTTTTGTCTGCCAAAGACGTAACCGCTCCTCCATTGTAGAGACGTTAAGGTATTTGCTTTATTAGATGGATTACTTCGCGTTAATTTTACTTAACAAATTACTTGAATTTGCCTTCTAAAACCAATACTCGTCGATAATAGCCGATTGGCCCTTACCTTTACAAAAAAAATAATAACAATAATTTAAAAATGATAAGAAATAACAAATTTATTAAATGATCTTAATAGTATATTAAGTCTTGATATTAGACAATTATATTTATAACGTATATTATATTATAATTAGTCAACGAATGACAATGGATTATTAAGATCATGAGTGTTGGAATGTTTTCTTCTTACGAAATGTAACTTCAGTTTCCAATCCGAATCCGAACCCGAACAAGTTCTGATCTCCGAAACAAACGAAGCAACGGCTTCACACTGTACAAATCATTGGCCGAGTATTTGTCGGCCCGCCTCAACAACGCTACGTGTAAAACGCAGACTCCGTCGGGCTTCGGCGTCCTTTCAATCTCCCCTACGAACTTCCGCGGGTAAAGCGCGTGGTCTAAGACGTTGGAGAACTCGAAGTCGAACGTCTCGTTGTCGAAAGGTTGGTGATGGAAGTCGCCTTTCAAGACGAGCGACGGGGAAGGCACGAGGTCAATGCCGACCGAGTCGGAGACGCCGACCGACGCGTCTCAGAGCCTCGACTCGACCTCTTGGCCTACTCTTGCGCCGATGCAGAGAGACTTGGTGGAGTTGGAAAGGAGGTTTTGCAGCTTCAGTTCGTGGAAGAATCCGGAGAAGACATCGATTTTTCGGTCCCAGTCACGGGTCATCCATATTTTCCTCTGTTTAGGGTTGAGGGTTTTGTTGAGTTGGCGTTGGATGTAAGCGTCGTAGGAAGTGTAGCCGGGTCGGATTATGAGTTCTAACTCGGAGGAAGAGGAAAGGTGGTTGGCGGCGGGGCTGATGAGAAAAGAAGAGGAAGAGGAGGAGGAACAAAAGCGAGACTAAGGTGATAATGTATTTTTGATATAAAACTTTATTTATTTTTAAATAATATTCAGAAAGAGGACATTGGTTGCGGTCGATATCATAAGTCATAACCTGTTTTATTGATTTAAGTTGGTTAAAAAATCTTGGTGGTAATGGATGATGAACCTGAACCCATCGCTCCTTCATCATTTAGTATGCCAAAATAGCAACAATGAGCAAATTGCAAATTCATAATATATAACGAAACAGTTCAACCAATTATGTTTAGCCACGTAGTTGCGCATATTCTTCCACAGCTAGGGTTATTTTATGTGATAATGTATTAGAAGATGCTGGAATCAAATGTTTAATATACCAAAACAATCCACTCATAAAACGAAGTCTCAATAGATGATTAATTTCTATCACAAATGGCATTGCACTTGTATGTTGTTATGATCAAAGTTTAGTCTCATTGATTAAACGAAATATCATTATTCTAAGAGATTTCAGGTTCGAGTATCAGAGACTATAAAAGTGTTTGAGATTTTATTATGAAATAGTAAATATTATTTAGAACAAATTATATCTTATGATCATTCTAGATTAATAAAAAAATACAAATATTGTATTAAAAATAACAATAAATTCATATAGCAAAATTAAAAAGTCAAATTATATAAAAACTAAATATATTATATTAAAAAATGAAAAATTTAGATATTAAGTCATATATTAAACCTTTATAAGAAAAGATAATTTTCTTATATAAAGAGAAAAAATATTTGATAAGTTGTCACAAGTATTGGTATGTTATTTGCTAAGCAGATTAGTCTAGAACGAAACATTTATCTAAAATGTAATTTGATAAATATATATATTTTTATTGGGATGAATAAAATCGAAATATTTAGTGTGTGTTTTTAAAACTATAATTACAATTATAAATAATATAATTAGAATTAGAATAATTCTAATGTATTAACAAATAGATTGATAATCCGATTAGAAGTTATGACGATATATGTTTGTTTTTGCTTAGTTTTTAATTTAATTTAATTAGTATTAGAAAACAATTAAAAATCTAATTTGATTTAATTTGTATTATTTTAAGTTGAAAAAATAAATAAAAAAGTGTTAAGTCTGTCTTCATGTCATTTGGTTTGCAATTTGCACTGGCCTCTCCTCTCCTCTCCCAGAACAGAAAAAGAAAGTACATCTTCTTCTTCCCCCTTAAAACTTTCTCTGAAAGCTTTCTCACAAGTGAAAGAGAGTAAGAAACGAGTTTGCTTTTGCTTACAGGTCAAAATTTCTAAGTTTCTCTCTTCCAATTCCATGCTATTCTGTTTTATTAATGGCGATCATAAGGTCCACCGATTTCGATCGGCGACGATCGGATCGCCGGTTATCCATTTCGGGAATCGTGTGGGGATTCAGCGATCTCCCGGTGAAACTGGTCCATGTGCATTTAGGTTTTGCTAGTGTGTTAAAAAAGGAAGGTGGAAAAAAGGGTCCCTATGTATTATTATTCACCCACCTCTTATCAACTTATCAAGCTTTATTCTTTTTGAGAGAGAAAAAGAAATAATAATATTGTTTATAATTTAGCCCCTCAGATTTCGTTGAACCAGTGGTTGTGATAAGTCTGTTACCATAGTTTAGATGAAGAGAAAATCTCACCTCTTCCTTATGAATTCAACGTAAAAAAACAATTATCTACCTTTTTCTTTCTTTCGAAATCGCCATCTGAATCCGTTTTTCAAGCCCTTTTCGACAAAATAGAGCAGAGGCTTTTGATTAGATGTTAAACAACTTCCTTGTTCTTCCAAATCTGACCTGACTTTCCGCTACCTTTTGGGGTTTTATTATCTTCAATTATTGTTAGTTAAGAATGGGTTTTTGAGGAATCATGGGTTTTTATGTGTAATTTTCATCTCTTTATTCTTCTGCCTTGATTTCTAATGACATTGTTAAACATGTAATTCTGCTCTGTTCTTTGGATTCTCCTTTTTCTTCTCTGTTACGTGATCCAGTGTACTTCGCCTTTTTTGATTATGTGATGGTTTCTTAAAAAATAAGTTTTTTCTCTCTTTCTTTAACATCCTCTGTCTTTTGAACGGCGGATGTTGATTTTGCTTGCTTGATTTTTGATCAGGTCAATGATCAATCTGACCTTTTTTTTAATAGAGTTTACGTGAACAGGAGTGTCTTCCCTTCTTGGGGAATTCTTTGTTTTTCTGGGTTTTCCTTTATGCGATGAATATGCTTTTCATGGAGGAATAGTATTCGTCTTTTCAAAATTCTCTTCTTTCGGTGCTTCCTCCTTAGATTTCGTTGTTTAAAACTTATATATCTTTTCATCATCTCCACAAGCTTTTTCGCCACTGTTTTTCTTTCTAGTTTTTGGTGTCCCTGTGCTTGGCCATTTCGGCTCGCCCGTGTAGATTTTGATCATCCAAACTAGTCTATTTTGAGATAAAGTTTCTCAAGAGGTTTAAAAAAGATAACCTTTGGTTTGTGATTTGTGTAATGATCACATAGTTTGTTGTGTAAAATTGTTTTTTTCCCCTTTTGTGATTCAAGGAGTTTATATGAGAACTTTTTTTCTTCTCTTTTGGTTTTTCTATTTGTAGGTTTGAGACTTGAAGTTTGCTGATCAATCCATTATTTAAGGTAGATATTTTTGGCACTTGTAGATTGAACTAATAAGTCAAACATAGGTTTAGTATTTAGGAGGTAATTTGGATCATTGGAGGGTTTCTTAGTGATTATTGTACCCATGTTTCCTAATTGTCAGCAATTTAGATAATCTTATTTGCCAATTTTGGGCACTTCAAAAGTTGGGCAGTGCCCATGGATGCCTCAACGAGTGGAACCACTACTGTACAATACCATAACATACCTGATCAACCAATTACTACTATTGTTGCTGCTCCTGTATCTGCATTTCTGCGACAAGTACGCCATTGCTTTGGGGACTCCACTCCTGGAGATTTCCCCTTGGCTGCCAATCCTTCCATTGTTCTTCATGTCCTCACCACTTGTAACTTGGATCCTCAAGATCTTGCCAAACTAGAGGCGAGTGGATTTTTTCTTTAGCGTTTTGAACATGAAGCTCCTTTCAAATGTTGGAATTGATAATGCTGGCTGATTTGATTTTGTAAACATGACTTCCAGGCAACATGCTCCTTCTTTAGGCAGCCTGCAAACTTTGCCCCCGATTATGAATTGTCCATATCCGAGCTTGCTGCTCTTGATATGTGCCAAAGAAGAGCTATATTTAAGCCAATGACTGATGAAGAACGTCAAACTTTAAAGCAGAGATGTGGGGGATCATGGAAATTGGTCTTGAGGTTTCTGCTTGCTGGGGAAGCATGTTGCAGGAGGGAGAAATCGCAGGCAATTGCAGGGCCTGGTCATAGCATTGCTATGACATCAACAGGAGAAGTGTACTCTTTTGGCTCTAATAGCTCAGGACAACTGGGACATGGCAATACTGAAGAAGATTGGAGGCCTCGGCAAATAAGGTTGCCAAATACTTTGTATCTCTGCATATGGCTGATGGTTTAAAAGTATATGCAAAGGGTTAATGGAACTCCATTATTTTGTAGATCTTTGCAAGGCATTCGAATTATCCAAGCAGCTGCTGGGGCTGGCAGAACAATGCTGATTAGTGATGCTGGGAGAGTCTATGCCTTTGGAAAGGATTCCTTTGACGAAGCAGAATACGGGGTTCAAGGAACTAAACTAGTTACAACTCCCCAGCCTGTTGACTCTTTGAAAGACATATTTGTTGTCCAAGCTGCAATTGGGAACTTTTTCACAGCTGTATTATCCAGAGAGGGCAGAGTTTACACATTCTCTTGGGGAAAGGATAGCAAACTTGGTCACAAAACTGAGCCAAATGATGTGGAGCCCCAGCCTCTATTGGGAGCACTTGAGAACATACCTGTGGTGCAAATTGCAGCTGGATACTGCTACCTTCTTTGCCTAGCTTGTCAACCAAGTGGCATGTTAGTTCATCTGAACTCCTTTTCAAACAGCTCTCTAAATTTATTTTTAGAAGGGCATCCAAACTGTGGTTTTGATGACTTGTCATCATAAATCTTTGAGATGCTGAATGACACTTCTGGATTCTTATATTATTAAAGTATTGGACTTTTCTAGAATCACAAAGTCCATCTATGTTGTTACATATGTAGTCATATATCTTTGTTTATTTGAATGTTTAATAATTTTTTGGTGTGCCCTTCTTTTTGGAATGATTAGGTCCGTATACTCTGTCGGCTGTGGTTTGGGTGGAAAGCTTGGACATGGCTCAAGAACTGATGAAAAGTACCCTAGACTAATTGAACAATTTCAACTTTTGAATCTTCAGCCAATGGTGGTTGCTGCTGGTGCTTGGCATGCTGCTGTTGTGGGTCTTGATGGAAGGGTTTGCACATGGGGATGGGGACGTTATGGGTGTTTAGGTCATGGAAATGAAGAGTGTGAATCAGTTCCCAAGGTTGTAGAGGCACTAAGCAATGTCAAAGCAGTTCATGTTGCAACAGGGGACTACACAACCTTTGTGGTGTCGGATGATGGTGATGTATACTCTTTTGGTTGTGGTGAATCTGCTAGCCTAGGACATAATACTGCTGTGGAAGGACAGGTTTGAATTTCCCTTCCCCTTAAACTTTCTGTAGTGATTTGCAGGATGCTTAACCTCAGTTTAAGCGTCAAACCTGATTAATATTTTTTACTTTTTCATCAGTTCTTAATAAAATTATGCATTGGACGGCTCCTGAAATAATTTTTTAAAGGAAAAGCAATGTCATCCATTTAAATTAGTTTCGAGGTTACAACACATTTGCAACATTGTTTCGTGTATTATGCTTCATGTGCCTTTGTATGAGGGCATTATTAGGTTCGCTTCATTAAGAATCATTCTGTATTCTTTTTGTTACGCCATTGATCACTATCTATTACATTTTTAACTACGTAAATGAACACTCCTTTTTTAGCTTTGCTTTTGAGAGTTCACCTACAAGAAAGTTTTAGATTTGAAAAAGTTTGATGCGGTAGAACCACAACACAACATCTCATATGAACTCATCAGTCATGCTGTTTTCATTGAAGAACGGACAATGTTGTACTTGAACATGAGAACTTAAGGGGCGTATGAATTCTTTGAGCTGCCAAAGGAAAACATTTCATCCATTTAATTGACATATTTTTTGTTTATTGTTTATATGGCAGGGAAACAGTCATGCCAATGTGTTGAGCCCGGAGCTGGTAACGTCATTAAAGCAAGTGAACGAGCGGGTGGTACAGATCAGCCTTACAAACTCAATATTCTGGAATGCTCATACATTTGCACTCACCGAGTCCGGGAAGCTTTATGCATTTGGCGCCGGGGACAAAGGTCAGCTAGGTATAGAATTAGTTAACAATCAGACAGAAAGGGGAAACCCTGAGCGAGTTGATATTGATCTCAATTAGGAATTCATCGATGGTCTCTCCATCCATGTCATACGCACCATTTCATCCATTAGATTATCAACAATTACACGACATCTGGTGTTCTAAATATCCCTGTTTATTTTGTAAATAGAAACAAGCAAAAAAGGAATTTGTGAAGATTCAAGTTTAGGTGTAGTAAAGGGCCTAAGAAAATGGCTAAAATGGTAAGAAAAATGGTTAGCACACTGAAACATCCATGTTAAGGTTCATCGATTACTTATGTTAAAATTGCATTTTTAAATGTTTATTTATTTATTTTAGATATAAAAGGAAAACAAGCAGGATGAGAATGCACGAAAAATCAGTCAGCCCTTAAGAAAACAAAACCAAGCCTTGTGGAAAGGACGTTGCATTTCCTATTGGGCTTGGTTTTGTTTTCTTAAGGGCGGACTGCTTTTTCGTGCATTCTCATCCCTCCTGCTTGTTTTCCTTTTAAATGCAACGTCCTTTCCCCAATTCAACAAGTGTGGTCTCTAAATGTTTGTTTATAAGTTAAATAAACGAATTTATGTTCATTTCATAAACTAGCTAATTAGTTCATTTATGTTCATAAACAAAATAGTTTATAATAACATTTATTGTCTCGTTTATAAGTTTGTTTATCTAGTTTTCTTTCCTTTTACATTTTAAAAATATTAGTGAAGGTAAAGATTAAATTTAATATAAAATGAGTTTTATAGTTTAAAATGTGAAGCTTAAAGAATTTAAAGACTAATGGTGTGATTTCATTTTTTACCAGGGTCTTTGACAAACTCAAACTATTTAATTTTTTTAGTTAACGTTTCTAAATATATAAATGAACATGTTTGTAGACATAAAACGAATCGAATATAATTGTTTTCAAAAATAAATAAACACTAATATGATATTAAAAATTTAAATGAACATAAACCAAATATAAATACTTTTAAAAATAAACAAACAAACATATTCATCCGTTCAAACCCTATTTTTATACATCCTGACGGCTTTTCTCCGTCTTGTTTAAGCACTCCATTGACAGGAGCATAATGTGCTGGGTTCTTCATTTGGTTGTCCCCAAACATAGATAAACATCAAATTGGGCAATTTGCTAGCACCATCTATATATTTAGTTTCAACAAACTACTCGTCACATGAGCCAATCATTAGGAGTGAGTTGATCTCTTCCTCTCTAACTTATTTATTATTGGAGAATGTTAGGACTAAAATATAATATATCATCCAAGTTGATGGTTATGAATTAACATTTCACTTTCTATAAAGTAAGGATGGTGTTGGTTTCATCATCCAGTTTTGATTCTGCAATCATTAAACTCATTGCGCAATTTATAATACCGTGGTGAGGGCTAAATTGCATGAATATGATCTTTAACTTGTACATGTGCATATATATAAATGTGAAATGGGAATTGGATAACGGTTATTTTATTAGCAAACAGGAGTTGTCATTTTCATGACTAATTTGTAATGGCAAGGGCACATGGCATGTTGTTCAACCCATGTGATGTTTTCCACCCATTTTATTAAATTTTATACATACCCTACACAAAACATATACTATAAAGACTAGACACGTTTGATTTTATTATTATATCAGGAAATTTTGGTAATGATGATTAATAAATCCAATGGATTTTAATTATTGGATGTAAATCATGCATGATTTTTGGTTAAGGCTACATCTATAATTAGAATATTGGATAATCTTTTTAACAATAAATGGTACATTTTGTTTTTTCATATAGGAAAGCTATTATAAAGTAGGGTTATGAGCATAACGAAAATGCACAAAGCTAGTGGGATAATGCTATCATCATTTGTTTTCATGACCACTCTCTATTGCACATTGTAACTCATGAATCTGTCTATGTTGTCTATCAAAAAACACGACATATGGCTGAGAACAGATAGCCACGTGTCTTGAACAGACATGTCGAAGGGGAACAGTTGACATATATCTATTTTAAAATTATTTATTTATTTTATTGATAGTGATCGTTCTAAAAAATTATCCGTACATATTTTATTTTAAAATTTGAGAAAATATTTTTAAATGTATCACTTAAGTGAGATATTTAAGTGGTGACGCAAACAAATTACTACCTTTTAGGGGCAAATGCATCAAGTCTCCTAGGCCAAATGCATCCTCGTTGTAGTGGATATTATTGGTAAATAATGGTAGGTTTATGACATGAACGATTCGATTTTGCCTTTTTCTTAAAGTTAGAGAAGTCATAGGTGCATGGCATCCACCGCTGAGTATTAAAGTGAAGAGTTTTTGAGGTCGAAAATGTCAATTTTTATCACATGGGAGAACGTGCCTTTCCCCTTGACAAATGGCGATCATTTCACCGGTTTCACGGTAGGTACGGACTTACGCACGTGCCCACTTCAATCTCCCAAACTACAACTTTCTATTCAATCTCAAATTAAATTAAATTAAAATCCACCTTAATCCAACATATTTGAATTTTAAATTTTAAATTTACAAAAAAATTAAGTATTAATATTTGATTCAATTTTTTATTCACTTAATATTTTCTTTTCTAATAGCATAAAATGATTTTAAAGTAATATATATTTCAAATTTTTTTAACTATTGATACCGTACTCATATCCGCAAAATCAAATGTTTAAACTTAATACTTCTAGAGAGAACAACACTCCCTCCAACAATTGAGATTATTCAACGAGTTCTTATTCAAATAATATTTTTGTTAGCCGCAATTGCTATTTTCATATTTTGAAATGTGTATTCGATCTCGGTATTTTTTTTCTTAAAAAACTTGTATTAATTTATTAAAAATCAATAATTATTTTTATTAAATCAATAATCATTTTGGATATAAAATTGAAAGTATCAATTGTCGAACGTAACCACGTTGTACTTTTGATTATATAAACATGTTGTCAAGGTACGCCAGTTTTAATATAAGATTAAATAAATGTGTTATTAAAAATGTTAATATTTTTTTAACATTTTAAGTAAGGCGTTATTTAAAATATTATTTTTTTTACTAAAAATATTAATATTATGCATTACCTAAAATATTTTTTTCTATACCTAAAATTATGTAGCAAAATTAATATTTTTGATAAAAAAATAATATTTTTGATAAAAAATAATATTTTAGATAACGATTTATCATAAATATTAAAAAAAATATTTTACAACTCATTTTCTTAGACATATATTAAAACTACCCTAGAAGAGAACTATCCATGGTGTCATCATCACAGAGTTTATCTCTTAACCAACCGCCAACTTTAGAATGCTAACCTGGCATTTCGGGAATTTGACAATAAATAAAATATTTAACGAGTTAAATTTAATAAAATTATAATGTGTTAAATATTAAAAGAAACAAATATAGTAATTAAAAAAGAGTTAATTGGACATATGTCTTCAAACTATGGCCTTCATTTCAAATCGATCCTTTTTAAATATTCTAATTTCATCCCTAAATTATGACTCTTATTCTAAATTAGTCCTTAAAATCTTGAACATTCCAATTTAATCCCCAAACTATGACTCTCATTCTAAATTAGTCTACAAACTTTTGAATCTTCCAATTCCATCCAAATAAGTAATTAGTTTCAACCATAGTTTAACCCAAATTTTTTTTCAAACATATAATAATATAATCTGACATGATGGTTTTATTAACAAGAGATGTGAGTAGTAAATACGTATAATTTGTGATGAAATTGAAATATTTAAAAAGTTTAAGGACTAATTTAAAATGAATATTATAATTTGGGTATGAAACTTAAACATTTAAAAAAAATTTGGATCAATTTAGAACGAGGGTTATAATTGAAGTATGTGTGACATAAGTAACTCTTGAATAAATATATAAAAACTATCAACAATCAGTTGGTCTAGTGAGATGAAATACTAAATTCCTTAAGATCAGGAGTTTGAATCATAATATTTACTAATGTAAAAAACTAAATTGAGAAGTTACTCCCAAATGAACTTTTACAAAATCTGATATATAATAATCGATCGATAAATTAAACATGATTAAATCAAAACCAAATATATAGAAACGAAAAGACCAATAATGGGAAGCCTTTTATTTTATTGGAAAATATATGATGAAGGAGGCACATGGTGCAGCATGTGGTTGAGCAGTTACCGTCAATCACTACATCTGCATTGGGATTAAAATCAGACCCACAGTTCTAATAATGACTATATGTACACGAATTTCAGTATTTCAAACTATTAATGGATTAATTTAAATTTTTATTAAAAATAAATTATTTTATTTGTAATATTAATCTTAAATATTAAAAATCATTTAAAAATAACTATTCATCTATTTTATCAGTGATGTTCTATATAAATGCAAGATATTTATGTATATTGTAAGTTGGCAAACAAGGTTGGGGGAATTTAGAAGGGGAGTGGGGGTAAAAACAGATAAATGAAAGCTCTATCATTAGTTAAGAAGCTAAAAGTCTGCCGAATGAATTTATGGATGTTTGTCCTTTTAGGTACTAAAATTTAAGAATGGGAGAGTTAGCAATTCATGTGTATATATATATATATATATATATATATATATATATATATAGAGAGAGAGAGAGAGAGAGAGAGGCTTTTCAATGAATAATTAGGCTAATTAATGTGATCGTTTTAATATATATGGGGACATATACATAATTAAATATTGGTAGAGGTTGAAATTTTAGATTATTTAAAAAAAAATATAAAGAGTTATTAGGTATTTAAACTTGAAATTCAGCATAAACCAAACGACCTTAGTGATTAAGGGATTGTTATTATCCGTGAGATCCCAAGTTCAAGCATGTATGTAGGACTATGAGTGATCATTGTCAAATAGTTAAAAGTCTTTGCACATATATTATTTTGTATTCACCCTAAATTAAAAAAAAAACTCAAAAGATAATTTTTAATTTTTTTAATTTGTCTAATATTTAAACTTACAATGACTTAAATTGTAATTGGACCAAAATTTGAGAACACTAATTTATCATTTTTTAATTCGACCCCTACTTGATTAAATATTTAATAAATTTTTATATTTTTTAAATTTAAATATTTATTTTTATATCAACAAAATTACTATTAAACTAAAATTATATCTAATATATAAATTTTAACGTGTACCGGGACTCCTTGGCCGGAAGGGAGCTTCGTCCCTTGTCAGAATTCAAAAAATCAAAAGTTGGGTAAAATTATGTAATAAAGATGATGGGATGGAGAAAGAAGAGAACTTTGTCCTCGAGTTTACAAGGAAACCAACAAAGAATAGACGATCCACAATAATAGTGGATCCACAGAGTGTCGGTGTGTTTATTTAAATTAATAATATCTTCATTTATTTCTAATTTTTTTAAATCCTAACCAGCAAAACATCCTTAACGTTATTCTAACATAACGTTGTAAGATGGCTAACATGGATTAATGAAATTAAAATTATAATAATTTTAAAAATAATTCACATATAATTTATGTAGTATGAATATCGAATCAAAAAATTTGATCAGATAATGCTTTGAAAAAAATGATTTTTCTCATATCAAGTATTAGACGACATTTTCTTATTTACGATGAATGTACAGTGCTCTATGGAAGACGTTAAGAAAATTTAATGACTTTTAAAGATGTCTAAAAGGCAAGACAGTCTCTTGAAAAGAAATTTTTTTACCGACATACATAAAGGTTAGAGAAAAATCGTGTCTTCCAAAAATCATCGGATCCTCTAAATGTTTTTTTATATAATTTAGCATTTATAGTATATAAAAAGATAATTATTCTTAACATCCAAAAGTAATGAATATTTCTATCCCCTTTATAAAACCCCTCGTCGGATCTCAGTTCCTCAGAATTTGTACATTCACAGACTTTATTAAGCAATAAAAAACAAAGGGATTAATGGCAATCTTCTTGTTTCTACTGTTTTTCCCTCTCATGGCTCCCACCTCTGTTTTCTCCTTACCAGTTCAAGACCCCGAACAAGTTGTCCAGCAAGTCAATGAGTACGTTCTGATTTCCTCTGCTTTAATTTCTTTCGTCAATGGCGACACGAAAAAACTAATACATATTCATCCATTTTTGCAGGAGCATAAGAAATGCTACCGTGGCGAGGAGGAGCTTGGGGTTTCTCTCTTGCGGAACCGGCAATCCCATCGACGATTGCTGGCGGTGCGACCCTCATTGGGAAAAGAATCGACAGAGGCTAGCCGATTGCGCCATCGGGTTCGGCAAGCATGCCATTGGTGGGAGGGATGGGAAAATATACGTCGTCACCGACCCCCGTGACGATGATCCTGTTAACCCTAAACCCGGGACACTTAGATATGCCGTTATCCAAGATGAACCGTTATGGATCATTTTCTCCGGTGACATGACAATCAAATTGAAGGAAGAGTTGCTTATGAACTCATTCAAGACCATCGACGGCAGAGGCGCCAACGTCCACATTGCCGGCGGACCATGCATTACCGTTCAGTACGTGACGAACATCATCATCCACGGGATCAACATTCATGATTGCAAGAGAGGAGGGAATGCTTACGTCAGGGACTCTCCCGAACATTACGGTTGGAGGACGATATCCGACGGTGACGGGGTATCGATATTCGGAGGCAGCCATGTATGGGTCGATCATTGCTCATTGTCGAACTGCAACGACGGGCTGATCGACGCCATTCATGGTTCCACCGCCATCACCATTTCAAATAATTACATGACACATCATGACAAGGTGATGTTATTAGGACATAGTGACACTTATAAACAAGACAAGAACATGCAAGTCACAATCGCCTTCAACCACTTTGGAGAAGGACTTGTACAAAGAATGCCCAGGTAAAAAATAAAATAAAATTTACCCACAGTCAAACATTACCCTTAATATAGTAACCTTTTTTTTACCATTTTACATTGTACATGCAGATGTAGGCATGGTTATTTTCACGTGGTGAACAATGATTATACACATTGGATAATGTATGCAATTGGTGGCAGTGCTGAGCCTACAATCAACAGCCAAGGCAATAGATTTCTTGCACCAAACACTGAAGACAACAAAGAGGTCTAAACAATTAAACTTTGTTTTTTCAAGTTTAAAAGGATAAACTTTAAATTAAAATATACGAAATTCAGGTCACAAAACACGAGGATGCGCCTCAAAGTCAATGGAAGCAATGGAATTGGAGATCGGAAGGGGATCTAATGTTAAACGGAGCATTCTTCACTGCATCCGGAACCGGAGCGTCATCGAGTTACGCCAGGGCATCGAGCTTGGGTGCGAGACCGTCGTCTTTAGTGAGCTCGCTAACTGCCGGAGCGGGTGCACTCGTTTGCAAGAGGGGTTCCCGTTGCTAGTGACGTTATATAGATACAGTAAAGCAATGGTGTATACTAGTACAAGTGTACGAGTAATAATCTTGAATGGATTATATCAGCCTGTTGCTGTAAAAGCACCCAAGTAGCTAACGGAAACAAGAGCTGAGAAATGTGTTTGATAAATTGTATGTTTTTAGTTAAAATCAATGAAAGTAATCATTGTCGAGCATTTTTAAGTGTTGTTTATTGCGACTGCCTGTGGGTTTCCCTCGACAAAGGGAGCAAGCTTTGGGGGCTTGAAGAATATGAATGAAAGTTCAGCTTCCACCGACACCAATTGACGAGCAACCGATATAGGTGTGTACTGTTAAAGCACGTGTCATGTGGTCCGACAATTCCTGTCGCCATAAATGACACCTCTATCCACCATCCCATCCATAAATTAAAATCGAAAGATCATTATGTGATTTTTTTTATATAATTGTTGATTATTAATTTATATAAGGACATTTAGAATTGAATATTACAAAATTTTACAATAAAGAAAGCAAAGCGGATCGATTTAGCTGTTGAGATTCGGTATAATCTCATGAAAACTTTTATTTTATATAATTTAAGATGATTACAAGATAGTAATTATTCATAATTTTTTTATTATTAATAATATATACAGGGTTAGACTTGGTTATTTTTTGACCCGGGACGAAATAAAAGAAATAAATTCCTAATTTTAAAAAATAAAAAATATATAGTATAAAATTGATATTAATTTTTTTATTAAAATAAATAAATAGTAATTAATTATCATCTCAAAAATGTCAAAAAACTATTAAAGCACACGAAATTTTATAGAAAATATTGTCTTCGAGCATTTTTTGATACAAAATCGTAGTGTCAACATCAATATTTTTCAATATTTTTTTTCATTACATACTCATTCAATCTTTCTTGTGACATTATTAACTTCAAGTAATTTTTCAACAATTTCAGCTTACAAAAGCTTCTCTTAATTTATTATGAGAAAAAAAATAATCTCTAACTTATGATAAAAAAATAATCTTTAACTTAGAAAAATATTTTCATTTCAGAAAAAAACCCAACTGCATTAACATCCGACAAATTATTATGAGAAAAAATAATCTTAAAATTATTATAACATTCTCTTAATTTATTATCATCCAGTGACTTCAACCTTATAAAATCAATTAAAAATACAAAACAAGTTTCAAAAATCTTTAACTAACGTTTTTGTTTTTAAATTTAAAAAAGTAAAATTAAAAAATGGTTAATGAAAATTGAAAAAAAAATGAACAGTTATAATAAATTTCTAAACAATTTATAATTAAATCGAATTCTGCAAAGAAATGAACAGTTATAATAAATTTTCAAAATGAAATGAACAGTTATTCGTACAATAACTAACATTTTTTTATTTTAAATTAAAAAAGGAAAAATTTAAAAATGGTTAATAAAAATTGAAAAATAATTAACGTCTATTGGATTTTCCAAAAAATTATAATAATTAACGTTTATTACATTTAATTCAAGAAAAATTTTAATAAATTTATGGGGCCTTACTTAACCGGTGAAACCATTCTTTATGCATTAAAAAATAAAACTTTTATGAGTCCAGGGCTGGAGCCTCTTCTACCCCGACCCAAACCAACCCTGAATATATATATATATACTCTACAAATATAACTACTCGAATTAAAAAGAATAACATTTACTCCTATAGCTAAAAGCTTAAAAACGGAACAGGGTTGAATGTTCCTTTTCGGTCTTTTTTCTAACATTGTAGTAACTTTCTGTGTCAACTGTTTTACCCATTTCATCCACTACTATTCCCTATCTTCAACGAAACCAAATAAACTTTTTTTTTCTTTAAAAGAAAAGGACTTACATTAAATGCAAATCTGGAAGAAATACTTGGACGGGATCTGAGGGCATCCATTGTTGTAAGGAAAACTATTTCATAAATATATATATATATATATATATATATATATATATATATATATTCGTAAATTATTTAGAATCTCAATCAACAAAAACCAGCTATTCCATTATTTTTCTTCTATGTTATCAACTATTTAACATTAACCGTTAAGTAACCATCTATTCTATAATTACATGGAAAAAAACGAAGACTATTCTTTAAAAAATAAAGACATGAAAAAAAAAAAATAGATAATCCTCATTAGCCAGGATTATGAATAACATGATGAGATTTGATTGTCAAACATATTATATTATCATTAAAGGTTCAATTGATTAATTCATAATTGTGAATCTTAAAACGTATTTCTGATCAAGTTAAAGACAATTACAAAGGTCACACTAAAAGGGAGAGAAGAAAAAAAAGGAGAATCATTTCCTTAGTGAAGAAATCTCAAACATATGAAATAATATCAAATTGACACTAATCACTTTAGTCACGTTGGTTACCACCGTCGATGCTGTTGCACCATCTCCGGACGCTGCTGCTGTTGATGTAGTTGCCCCTGCTGGCAGTGATCTGGATGCTAGAAGTTTTGCTGCTGCTCCTAGTGATGCAACCACCATCGGTGTCTCTGCCGTGAAGGTGGAAGCCATAGCTGGCTGACTTGGCTCCGCTTCATGAGAGTGTAGTAAACCTCATGACGCAGACCTATTAATCATAAGTTGTACGTTTACTCAAATTTCTTAGTATGACAAATTTGAGATTTGCACAAGGCAGCTGCTTGTACTTGTACATTAACTAACAATAGAATATAAATAGTATATATACATAGATGTACAAGATGACTATAAGTAATTTTCCTTTTAGTCCATTAGCTGTATGATAATGTGAAATATTATGTTTATTAGTTATTTATTTTTATTTTTTTTGTAACAAAAACTATGAAATCGAATCTTCAAAACTTTGATCAATATTGGCCGACACAAATTTAACAGAAAATGTTGTAAAATCTCTATCACCTGAGTAAGCTAAAACATTATAAATGGAATTCAGCTCTTCAGAAGATTTCCCACCAACTATTCGGTATTCCATCTGATGCATCAGTGTTGGCAGGGCCTGATGGAAACAAGTGTTTAACTGCATTCCTAGGCTACTGTGAGGACCCCTTTTAACTCTGGATCGAAGAATGAATGAAACAACTTCCCTTTTGAACTACTGCAATTGAAGACCGGTTACCATGTTTTATACCATCTCTTGCAATGAATGCATATGAGCACCGATCAAAGCCGGAATTAGGGAATTAACTTGATGTGCAAGATTAAAGTTGAAATAGCAAGTCATGCACCCAAGCACTATCAGAGAATGCTTTTTCCAATAATCAGCTGGAGAATGGACATTTTCCTTAATACATGCCCTTAAAAACAGGATTTGTACGGCAAATACTGGCTCCATATTCCTCGTATTCAGCTTTTGTATGACATGCCTGCACATCGGGGAGGTTAGAAGACTTTCAGCCATTCTAGTGTTGAAAATTTAAGATTGATGAATAACATAACACTAGAAGTAAAGCAAATGGGCAATTGACAAATCAACCAAGCAAGACCAGTGACAAACCATAAATGCCAAACTCAAGCCATTCGGCAGCTGGTAAAGAGAAAAGAGACTAAGACGAGCTTATGGGTGGAGATTCATACCGCAAAAAAATCAGGTGTTGATGCAAGTACAGAACCTCCAAACCATACCGCAAATCTTTGGATAGGATGACTGACTACATTAACTTCAACGGGTTGTGACTGGAAGGTGAAGACCCAAACAGGATTAGAAATTAGCTTTCGAAAATCACAGTAGGATAAAAATACAAGCAAAAATATCCTTACTTTTATTTCCCCACCAACTCGAGTATCAGACGCAAGAACTCGGCATCTACAATCTTTTTCAGATCTCGCTGCAACCTTCTGTGGAAGTCTTTGAACATGGTTGATCCACCAGATAATACTATGTTCTGAAAATTGTTTCAATAGTGAAAAGAGAGCATTGAAGTATTTATAAGGATACATGACGAAAACAAGTGAAAATTCATTCTCTTGTCAATTCAGTCATCAGGCTTATGTATTTAACTTCAAGCTTTCCTTGCTTCTTGTTAAGTACCAACAATGTAACCAACTGTAGGCACAAGCCATTATCAGCATATTGCAACTACGCTAAGCACTTTTTTTTTGGTTAAAAAGGGTAGGAATAACTCGACTATGACTTTGAATATATAGATTAGTATCAGACATTGTATGAGAAAACAAAATCTAATCAGCTCATAAATAAAAAAACACTGATTCAAGAGTTTAAAGGGAAAATAATCACACATCAAGAACATCATCCCACTTAAGTTAATTTAAAAAGAGACTGTTTTATCAGGAGGCAAAGTGCATGACTGCTAGGTGAATCCTTAATCAGTACATCTCAACCTTCAAATATGATACTTTCATATTGTTTCATTTAGATTTATCTTGGATAAAAGAACAAAAAAATTTGCAAACTGCTTCTCCTTTTTTAGTGAGAATATCATACTTTACCTTATACAAAGCTCTTCGGGTGTCAATTGGTGCTGACGGAATGCACTTATCTATTACAACTGGTAAGGGAGTAGTAAAATCACCGCTATAGATCTCAGGACTGAAGAAAACCTGTCAAACCAATCAATACATAAACATCATTAACAAGATTCAAGAAGAAATTTATAAGCAGCAAAGTTAATCAAAATTTTATTTCTCAAAAGCAGTGTATTATCAAATACATAGTTGCAACATCAAAGTAGCAAATGCCAAAACCATGCACTTAAGATATATAACCGGCACAGAGAAATGAAGAAAATATTTAGACAAGGAAATATTTTGTTCTAGTTGGTCTACACCAACTCATTGTCAGCAAGATCACAGCTAGGACATACTTATATTCTCATAAACGAAGGAAGATTTTTAGTTTAAGCAGATCAGAGAAAAGAGTTGGAGGAATCTGCTTTTCGACAAATAACAAGAAATGATTGAAGCAAGGCAACCAAAGTCTCAAGAGAAAACATAGCTTAAAGCCTTAAACATTGAAAACAAGGAAAACGATGATCAAACATCTCACAATTAAATCCTAATGAACAAGAAAATCATTGCTTGTGTGCTACTGCTGTACGATTGATATATTTATATGTATGCACGTGAGTATTGTGTAATATATTTATATTAATAGAAGGAGAAATCTTCATAAAGCAGCCAAGAGTCTAACCACTTGATAGAGTTAGCTAA